ATGCGCCCGTCTGTATATATGTATATATATATTATAGGTTATTACATTCGAACATATGTAACAGCTACATAAGTGCATTCACGCTTCGATGCATATCATCGTATCTTATCAGGCGGTGGTAAATGATTTACCATCGCCTGATGCGCTGATATGCATCGAAACGTGAATGCATTTATGTAGTGCTTACATATCTTCGGATGTAATAACCTATAATAAAGAATTATCGCTCTACTGTTGTACTGAGCGCTGTTTTTAAATTAATGTTATGAACGTTTGAATTTATATTTGATTCGTTCATTTCATTTGGATCTCTCTCTCTCTCTCTCTCTATATATATATATATATATATATATATATATATATATATATATATATATATATATATATATATATATATATATATATATATATATATATATATATATATATATATATATATAAATGGTGGAGACGTAAAATTTGCGAAGTGAAATTGAAACCGCCAAAGTTTTCCAATGAATCGGTGCTGTTGAGTAATGGCTATAAACTTACAGCCCGTCTAGATGAGATAAATAAAGTAACTAAAATGAGAGATGAAAGCAATACTCGTCTAAAATTAATAATGGTAAAAGTTTTCAGAATTGAACTTTTGACATCCCAATTCCACAAACGGATTAAATGAATATAATATTGTCTTCATCTTTGTTGTCTTTAAAATGACATTTCGGTCGGCGTCATTCCCTTTTCTTCTCAGTTGAATGCCGTGCCACTGTACGAACCAGAAGAACACTGTATCTGCCAATGATAGAAACGTTTATTTCCGTTGTTGCACTCAACGTTGTCATTTTTTTTTCTTCAGCTAAGCATTTCACTTCTTTTTTAGTTAGTTGCTTTTTAAAGAGTTGGAAATAATAAGAAAACGCCCAACAAATATTTGCTTGTAAATTTCAAGTATTGATTTAAATAGTGGAATCCACTTCATTACATACGGAAACAAATTGGTGGTGAAATCATTTAAGCCGCTGAATGAATGACTGAGTCTAATTTGTTGAAAAATAATTGTATTGTTGACTGTAAAATTTACGGAATCAAGCATGAAAACAAAAAATGAAATGCAATAAAAACGAGCCCAAGATTATAGGAATTAAATAATAGTTAACGAATGTGAATTGAATTAAAATGTGCGAAACGTTTACAGGAAAAAAAGAAATAAAATATTAAAATTGGAAAAATGAAGAAAATTTTAAAATATTGCCTAAGAATAAACAAATGAAAAATATTCAGTAATAAAATTGGAAAAAGATCTTACTAGAAAATATCTAAATATACATATTTGACACAATAATCCAGTGGATCAAATCATCAGGCATCATCAAATGAATGTTTCGTTTGGTTAGGCTTGTTTAACGGCATATCAACTCCTTATGGGCCATTCAATGCTGAAAATTAATTTTCTTGGGAGCTTGCTGGAAATTTTTACTATAAAAATGTATTTTTATACTTTCATGGTGGTTTAACTGTTTGCCCATAGCTCGGACCCTAACAAGTGGTACCACACTGAGTCTCCAGATGAATGTAACATCTAGCGAACAACTGGCATCTGGAGTATATAAATGATCCAAATTTTCACCAGAAAATGACGCTTACTTTTTTGAATACGAAAATAAGAGAGAAAAGTGTTTTTTAAATGATACCACATTCACCTGAAGAACGTCGGAGAATGCGCCAACTAAAAGCAAACTTTAAAACAAATATGAGGATTATATATATATATATATATATATATATATATATATATATATATATATATATATTTTATTTTTAAAAATTTCCATTATATATATATATATATATATATATATATATATATATATATATAACTATGCTCACATCATAATGCTACGTGTGACATCAAACTCATCTGTTTACCTTCCATTTTACGTCATTAATAACGGATGCTAGGAGCGTGTTGTGTATTGGTTAACGATCAAAATCAAATACTTTTAACACAACGTTGAAAATCTCAGTTGCGGCTGTAAAAAGGAATCACAAGCGAGTGACATGTCTACAAAAACAATACTCTGTCCTCTGGCAAAAGTTGCTGGTGGCGCCAGGGGTGGCAGTACCGACTTAGCTACCGAAACTGTGTTACCTCCCCTGGTTGGCAGCTGACGAGGGCAGGCTATTGCACGTGTTTTCACACGTTGTATGTAGAAAATTGAACCACAAGAATCTCTGGTAAGTAAGATGACTCTTCAGAAAGACAAAGTTACCCCCCCCCTCAAGAAAGTTGGGGTGTCATCCTGGAGAGACAGAATCTGACTAGCACAACAAATGAAAAATACCCTCTGGGTATCTGTAGAAGGGACAATACATCAACCATCAGACTGATTTCAATGATAATGACATGAACTTGAAATCGGCTACAACGTTTGATAGCGGCAGGATATTCGACAGCCTGCGAGGTTCACGTATCCATGGTGTAGGCAACGCAATTCCCCTATTGGGGAATGTCAGTCGA